ACAAGGACATGCTAAGGGCGGAGCAACTATGGGGTGCGAGCAAGAGCAGGTGTGCTTGTATGGATGCCTTCAAAAAGGTAACTGACGTCCTAGGACGCCATCGACGATAGGAGCCAGGCTCGTAAGGGCTTTTGCCCCGAGACCTGCCCGGCGGATGCTGCAATCTAGGGACTGCCTTCACAATAGCAAGAATTGAAATCTACAGTGACGCAGAAAATGACGCTAATTGCGCCATCGCGCTGCTCTGGAGCAACAGCCAGACACGATTTTCACCTAGATTTCACAAGCAAGCGGAAGCAAACCCAGAGTGCAACGCGGCAAGCCGAAGTTGTCGACGAGGAGCAGCATCAGAGGGGAGCAGCGACACCAGAGCCTTGTCACCGCCACTGGGGCCGGCAACGGCATGCCCCTGCCGGAGCCATGATGCTGCCGCCCCTGCGTGGACGAGGAGGATGCTCGGGAGGCCTCAGCGCAGCCTGAGAGCAGGAGAAGGAAGTCGACGACGCCCTGACGTACGGGCCCAGTGCGTCATTGTCCCGTACACGCCCGCCATCGGTCGCCGGGCCCTTGAAGCAGCAGGCGACCCCAGCAACAGCAGCGTCGCCGCCTGGGTTTGCCGCTTCTGGATCGACCTGCCTTGGCAGCAGCAGATGCACGAGATCGACTTCCAGCCCTCCGACCAGGCCGTGGCTGTCGTGGAGGGGGGCCTGCTCGTGCTGGTCGGCGCCAGTTGGATGCTGAGGGTGAGCCTGGTGCCACTGCCGCCGTGCCCCGGTAGGGACGAGCAGGATAGAATTCAAGGGCGCTGCCTCCTCCTCCGCGCGGCTCGCACCCGCCGCTCGCCGCAGCCGCCGCACGGCCCGCCCGCTGGCCCCGGCGGTGCCAGATCCAGGACGGGGACCGCCAGATTAGCGGCCTGCTGCGCGTTCCATCCGTCCAGCTCGCCCACTATGGCCACGACCTTGAAGCGGCCGTTGACGCAGGCGGCGGACCGGGACTCCTCCATGCGCGGGCACCCGTCAGGCAAGGGGACGAAGCAGAGCACCGGATCCATGCCACAGTGTGCAGACGCGGGGCAGGGGGCACCGGATCCGTGCCCCAGTGTGCCTACCGGCCGCCTGCAGGACTCCAACGCGACCGCCGGCCGCTGCGACCACTCGTCCCCCACGCGCCGGATCCGGGGCAGGGAACACCGGATGCATGCCCAGGGAACCCGGATCCGCCGCCCCATGCTCGCCGGAGGCCGTCCTTGTTGCCGAAGAAAACAAAGCTCAGAGGAGGAAGAGAAGGTGAGGAGAGGTAGAGGGAGGAGGGGACTGCTGCGAGGAGCCTTTTTGTGCACCGCAGCGGGCCGCCGCCACCGCTAGCTAGGAGCGGCGGCGGCGGCCGGGGAGCCGGCGAGAGGCGGGGGTTCCCTATTGGAATTTTGCCATTACCTCTTTTGCCATCCTGTAAATTTTTTTTTGCCAAATTAAAAAAAAAATTCGCAGCCTCTTTTCTTTCCCATTTTGCCCCTGCTCACCGCCCGCTAACGAGTGGGCCCGTCTTGTCATCCCCCTCCTCCGACTCGTCCCCGTCGTCTCCGCCATAGCCACGCAGGGACCGAGCAAGCCGCACGGACCCCTTTCGACTCCTCGGTCCAACTCCATCACCGAGTCCCTGCTCCACCCTCGCCAGCCGCAGCCGCTCCCTTCCCCCGGTCTCGCGTGTGCCGGGTCAAGGCCGCCATGGACGCCATGCCCCGAGCTCGGGTCCTTGCCCCTTCCCTCCCCTCCTCGGCCTATAAAAGCCACCCTTGACACCGCAGAGGCACGCCACCGCCACACCGCCCCTCCCCAAGCTCTCTCGCCTGCTCCAGCGCCCACATCCGCCGCCGCCATAGCCGAGCCAGCTGGAGCTCGCCCAATCTACCCGCACAAGCCACCATTTGCCTCTCCTCTTCCTCCGTTGGCCTCGCAAGGATACACCGCACCCGATGCATCACTTCACGCCGTCGATCCGTGTCGTGGCGATGTCGGCGGGGTGCTGGCGAGTGTCCGTGAGAACGAATGGATTGGATAAGGATGCTGGTGAGCAGGAGCAAACACAGGAAAGAAAAGAGGCCGCGAAAAAATGATTAAATTTGGCAAAAAAATAATGAAAGGGCATTCTAGCGTGTGTCTAGTTTTATAATGACAAACGAACGAATCCCTTTTGCGGGATGGCAAACGAGCGAAGCCCACGTTTGATAATGGCAAAATTCCAATTATCTCTCCCGGCGGGGGTGGCTCGGTCACCCCCGTGTCGCCCATCGCATTCTTCCAGATGAAGATGACAACAGCCATATGTTTCACTCTCTTAGTTAGTACAACACTAAATTAATGTTTTAGCTTATACCCCACCTTTAAGATGTTGAATATATCCTCTATCAAAGGTTATAAATATAATCATTTAGGTTTTGAAAAAAAATCGAGTGCTTGAGATTAAACTATCAATCAGTAACATACAATAAATCGTATCTAATTTTTTAACTTCTAGGTGTTGACTTCAAACTAGTTCTTATTATTCTACGAACTCTATGAACTATATGTCATATATAACTATCACTTCAGTCTACGAAGAAACTCGGGTAGGGTTTGCATGCGTACGTTCTAGGGTTGAGTGTGCTTACGTTGTGAGTGTCTGTACTGTACGTGCAATTCTTAAAAAAGAACTATGACTAATTAAGTATATATGGAATTGAGTTTTTTTTTTATCTTTTTATGTGTGTGTTTGTGGGTGGGGGTGGGGGGGTTGGAGTTCCTTTTCTTATTTGCGGGTCTCATGAGGATTGATGATGAGGCATTGAAATGAACGTTCTAGTTAGTAATGTTAAGATGCCAGAATATGATAACATTTGGCTTGCCAACAAGCTCTGCTCAATCTTAGACTACCCACAGCGTTGGGTTTGGAGTTCCTTTTCTTATTTGCAGGTCTCATGAGGATTGATGATGAGGCATTGAGATGAACGTTCTAGTTAGTAATGTTAAGATGCCAGAATATGAGAACATTTGGCTTGCCAACAAGCTCTGCTCAATCTTAGACTACCCACAGCGTTGGGTTTCAGCGATGCTGAATTAGGAGAGAGAAGGATCAGGCATCGGGTCATGCCATTGTAGAGTGCGATGCCAAGTTGAAAAAAATCAGGCACCGAAGCATGTAGATGCCACGATGCTTGCTGAATAAAGAAATAATTTCACAGGCAGACACTAGAGTAGATAGAGACAGTGATGTTCTGACAAACCAGCCCCACATTCGCATTGGCATCGATGCTGACGCTGTAGGCTTTTAAGTGTTCCCAGCATCGGTGAAGGTGGCATAGGAATCTTTTGTTTGAGCATGGATCACGCTGTGGGCAGTCTTATACGCTGGATCTTGGAAGCGTCGAAAACAAAGAAAGAACAGTGAAATTGGTGGAAAAAATGCAGACACTCAATAATTTGACTTGTGGACCGAATGCACAGTATACATGTTTTCAATATTCCTTGCTGGAAAAAAATGAGAAGCATCGTGCATTGATCTGTTTGCTACTAGCAGTGCGTTAGGTCACATCAAGTAATGATGTGTGCAGCTAGCTAGCTAACATGAAAGAAAGAAAGAAAAAAAAGAAATTAAGAGGATTTGGAAGAGCTCCAGTTGCCAATTAAATGGAGTCCAATAGGACTAGCAGCAACCTCTCTTGCAGACTAAACAGAGGGCCGGGTGGATGTTTATTATGTGGTCCTCTCTAATTGCTATAGCCACAGGCTGACAGAATATTAACATTCTTATTATGTTAGAGCTATATTTTGTACAAGCTACATATAGTGTTGTGCTATGCATGTGGAGAAAAAATAGAGGGACGGTATCGGTGGTCACGTGCGAGGAAAGGAGCAAGCAGACAAGGCCCATTAGTGCTGAGTACCAAGTACATGAAATTATGGAGCTTGTCCAGCATCTTACGAAAGCAGCCTAGCTCAATAATCTCAAGGGCGGCTTGCATTATAAATTCAGCTAACAGAGAACACTGTTGTCCTGTTATGAGTTATATGACCAAGCTGAAACCAAGGAACACCGTCCTTGGTTGGTGTCGCCGACTCGCTGGCCTAATCTTGAATGATCAACAAATATTTGATTTCAAATCAGATGAACATGGATAATTGATGAAGCATAGGATAGCATATGGTTAGTCCTTGCCTATCACCTGATCTTAATAAAGAGTAGTTAGGCGAACAGGTGTAAACAGTAATGTTTCCAGGACGCAGGCAATGAGCAATAGTTCAGCAAGCCTTCCAAGTGGCTGACACAAAAGTACAAGGCACGAACTAAGCATTACTGGTATAGTTCACTCAACTGCATACAACTACTTACTGTGTATATTATGATGACAGAATCCTATATGTATTTGGCAGCTATTGGGCATACGGCTACTGGGTAAATGATGGTGCGGGAGTTGAAGCGTCAGATGTGTCGTAGCGCTCTTCCGCCACTTCCATCTTCAATCGCAGTCTACCACGATGTTATAAATAACAGAAAAGAAAGCAACTTTACGCTGGGCAGATACTTAATCACTGTCATTATTCCCCATTCTTGAACGAGGCCTACAAACTAAAGAAGCAAGATGAACAGTACGAGGCAAACTCAAGAAACAAGAGGAAAGATATGAGAGGCAAGCTAGAGGGATTCCGGTGCCAAATCTGCTACTGACAGTATGAAATGGTCGGAGAAGGACATGGTACAATTTGTATGTACAGGCACAGCAATATGGGTGGCATCATGTGTACAAAGTGCAAGCCTCTATATTATTTTCTAAGTTCCCATTCAATAGAAATGCTCGTTACAACGGCAATGTTACAGGATATTTACAGCGTGAAGGCCAGGGCCCCCTTCCTTCGACGTTATGGAGAGGCGTGCGCGCACCTTACGGATGCAACGTTCGAACGGGGCATTGTGATAAGCACAACACAAGTGCCTTCTCTCCTTGATTTGTTTCCGTGGATCCTTCATTCTTCTTTCTGTGCCACTGGAAACAGTTGCAGTACTTTTGTCCTGCAGGCACCACAATTTCAGAAAAGTTCGAACTGTTAATGTCAGCCACCTAAATGTAACAGTGACAGAGAAAACGGAAGGAAGGAATAGGGGGGAGGGGGTGGTTGTTGTTGTTGTTGACCATATGGGGGCTCGCTACTTGAAAGAAACTGAATACCACTGATTTTCATATCTTGCATGAGGGACAGGTTGGGGGTGCTTACGTCAGTCGCTTTGCGACAAAGAACACAGGTATTCTCTGTAGTTTCCCTTCATGTGCAGGTTTCAGTCCATCAATTACTTGCTCAGCTTGAGTGCCTGCAGCAGTCAAGACAAACTGGAAAAGGGCAATGGCGTCAAGTTGAACTCAGAATTTGTTGTATAGTAAACAATTGTAAAATCAATCAAAGCACTCTTTTCTAAAGCATCTAAGACCTATGTGACAAAAGCATCTAAAGACCTATGTGACAAACTTTAAATTGATCAAGGACATGTCGAATATCTCAAAAAGCTCCTGCTCCAGGGCAAGATGAGGAAAACTGAGATAGCATAATAAGTGTCCATGGCTTGCTCTCTTCTTCACATACACAAATCTGATATTCCATGCAGTTCAGGACTAGTATTCTAAGACAGGTACAGTGTGCAATCACCATATGGTCACACTTCTATAATGATTAATGAATAACCACATGCAGACTTCTGCTTTTTTTTAATTTCGAGGAAAACTGATGTCCAACAGGGAACTAGAGAGCAAGGGGACAGAAAAAAGGGCAACTAGAGCTACTGTACAAGATGATCAAGTCAACTCATATTTTGGATCTTATAAGGGCTCTCTAAGGCCCTGTTTGGTTGGGCTTTTGGCTTTGGCTTTTGGCCCCAAAAGTCAAAAGCCCAACCAAAGGGGCTGCTTTTGGAGGGTGATTTTTCAGAAGCAGCTGCTTTTCCGTAGTTCATTTTTAAAAGCTGGTTTGACCCTGCTTTTGGCTTTTGGCTTTCTGCTTTTCGAAATTGGTGGAATAAAAAGCTCTTCCATAGTTGTTTCAAGAGAGATAAAGATAAAAGGTATATTTTATACTTGTTTAACCAAACAGCTTTCAGCTTTTCTACAACTCACAGCTCACAGCAGCTTTTCCACAGCTCACAGCCCACAGCAGCTTTCTCCCACAGCCACAGCTCAACCAAATAGGGCCTAAGTCTTGTAGAAGTATTTCATCTTTGAATCCTAATGAATTGATTTCAATATTCTCAAATGGTATTACGAAACAGCATGTTCTTGTGAATGAGAAAACTGCAACAGCTTATGAGCATGTACCAACTTCTGTTTTTCCTACAACAAAGCAAATATACAAAATGGTGAAACTCTATCTATTTGCTAATTGCAACCATAAGCCACCAGCGAGAAATCCAGTTATATATATGACAACAATCAATTGTGCATGTTTCACAAAAGAACAATAAAAACTAAAGATTGAAAATTCTTACAGTTCTAAAATGTAATGCTCCAAATGAAAACAAACAATATGTAGGAAAAAGGAACCACGACTGAAATGTGCTTAACCGTACCAACGGGTAAAGTATAGCCAGAAATCCATAGCTTGTAAGAGGAGAGAAGAAGAAAATTGGAAGGACGCATGGAGCACCTACATAAAAAAACAAATAACACGTCAGAATAACACAAAAACCAGCATATAGCCATATACTCCCTCCGTCCCATTGAAAGTGTCATTTTGTCTTTTAAACTTCTTGTTTGACCGTTCGTCTTATTCAAAAATTTTGTATAAATATTATTTATTTTGTTATGACTTATTTTATTATTAGAGATACTTTAATAATAAATAATTTATTTTATTGTTTGCATAAAAAAAATGAATAAAACGAACGGTCAAACAAGCAGTCTAAAAGTAAAAAACGACACTTTCAATGGGACGGAGGGAGTAGGTGACATGACAGTGATAAGTGAGCAATTTTACAAAAGCGCAATAAAAGAAAAATAACAGTGCCCAATAACAAGAGGTATTTGGCTAACACCTAATATGATGGGCGTTCCCCAAATTACAGCAAGAAATAGGTTTTAAATGGTTCAAAAACTATTAGACAAGCGGTTGTCTATTTACATTTGGAATTTATAATGAAATGGTTTCTTTTTATGCATATTAACACCTATGTTTTAATGTATGAAGCAAGGTGAACTAACAACCAAATCAGCAAATCTACATACTCTTATAAAGCTAAACCCCACTAGATGTTTTATCTCTTCATGCAAGGTGTCCACATCATTCCCCACTAAGTGTCCCACTAACTTGCAATCCTTTCATGCAAGCTATCCATGTCATCCCTTATTAATTACAAAAAATGTCCACACCATCTCTATTATGTGCAATACTTTTAATCTTTAATCTATTAATGTAAAGCCATCTACATATGCTATTTGTTTCATCACCTATTCTTCTATAATTGATCAAATATTCTATTGGTTTTTCTTCTATTAGCTTACCGATTTTTTACCAGATGCGATACAATAAAATAAATTCAAGTCAAATTCATATATATACACATAGTATACGGAATACCATATAGTAATGCTATATATAAAAACAGATTTATTTTTAAGAAAATCCCGCGGCAACACGCGGGGTATGCTTCTAGTATTTAGTAATATATAATCACCGAAAGTTTCCCATAACAAGCTGAAAGTACAGATGCTTCTTGCCATGAACATATCCACACACATGTACAATGAATCAAGTCATTTCACAGAGACACTATGTGCATGAAATAGCTTTTGATAGCGTGCAAAATATGTAGTTGTAGATAGCCGCAGCCAGAGAAAGTTAATTTTCAACATTTTCTTTGCAAAGCAATTAAAAAAAAACTAGACCAACCTAGGTCGAACTAGAAGAGAGCGTTGACTGCAGCCACAGCGGCTGCAGCTACAGTAAAATGTGAGGGGGAAAAGCTGCAGCCACTGCCCTAGCTGCTTTTCTCCCCTCACATCTTTTGTAGGTGCAGCCACTGCAGCTGCAGCCAAACACTGCCTAGGTGGGGGCAATTTATCAAGAAAATAGGCACCCAAATTCACCTGAACCTGGGTGGTCTGGGTATACATCCATACCCTTGACCAACTGAACTAGCTCAGCTTCCTTGCAAAGCAATTCACATGTCACTGAAAGAGGGAATAAAGACACAAAAGGTCCTTGAAACTGTAAGATTAGGCACAAGGACTGTTATGGAGGATATGATGTTTACCCATACATATAAGCAAGGATGACCGAGGGTTTATAGAAATAGAACCAATCAACGGTGATCTTTGCTGAGATCAATCTATCTATCCTAGCCATATGGGCGCTAGGCCCAATAGGGGCGCACAGGCCCAGCAAGAGAACCACGCGGTAGCCATAGGCGCTGCCGTCACTCTCTGTCTAACAGAAACTATAAAACGAACTTTGGTCACTCTTTATATCAGCAAAGATCACAATAAGACCACTCATGTGACCAAATCCTATTCAACAAAATGACCAATGAAAAGAAGCAGTTTAATATCATAAATCTGTCTTACTCTGATAATACATGTGCCAAAACATAATAATTAGACTAAAGGGGAAACAGCATAGTATACGACATAAACCATCAGAGCATAGATTGTCAACATACCAAATCCAGCAAAGAATGCCCAATTTGATTCAAAGAAATCAAGTCTCTCATGCAGACTGACTGCAAAGAAGTTCCACTTGTACCTGGAAAAAAGGTTTATCAAAGTTCAAGATAATAGAACTATAGAAATAGCTCCGCAAATGCATAACACATTAAAAATAATAGCTAGGAGAATGACGAATAACATTCAGGTGTGCTTACTCAAAGCAGTAGTAGGCATACATCAATGACAAGAGCAGGAAGTTCATTGCCTTGCCAAAGTAAGGTATGTAACCAATCACTGAAACCTACAGATGCAGATATATAAAAAATAGTTACTGACAAGCTAAGAAGACCAGGAGAAACAAAGTTCAAATAGATATGATCTGTGGAATTGGTTATCCAGTGGTACATGCGGGAAAGATAGAATCATACCTCAACAAAGAAAATGGTTAAAAGAAGGATTGAATAGACCTGTTCCCCAATACCAAGTGCAACCCTAATATAAAAATATCAGCAAACAGAGCATGCAATCAGGCACAAACAAGTTCTACATGAATACAATTACCTGTCAAATCCTTCAGGCTGCTCTTCTGTTTCAGTTGCATTGTGGCCATCCAGTGCTTGAGTCAAAACTAGGCGCTTACTTTTCACAACATCCAAAGCATGCTTGGCAATGTCATTATACCTGGCATAAATGTTCCGCATCACAAAACGGATAAAAGGATGCCCCCTTGTTCAGTCTCTGAATTATAGATAATTTGAGGATAATAAGATGAGAATCCATACCTGTAACAACAAATGAGTTCAGCTCAAATACCAGATCCAGGTTTGTTTTTATGCGCTGTTAAAACCTAACTAGGCAACACTGCAACACTTTTTTTTTTAAAAAAGAATGCACCAGCCGACAACACTCAGTTTTTTACTTTTTTCAGAGCGATAAGATGAGAAAACATAGACGGATCAATTTTACCCGCCTGCTGCAAACATATAACTCACTCCAACATTTGCTAAATACATATCCCAGAAAGCAAATAGCAAACTTATGCACAGGAAAACCTATTCTGATCATGTTACTCCACAAATCTATATTCTGCAAACATATAACTCACTCCAACATTTGCTAAATACATATCCCAGAAAGCAAATAGCAAACTTATGCACAGGAAAACCTATTCTGATCATGTTACTCCACAAATCTATATTCTACAGAAAAGTACTGGAAAACAGTAGATTTAAAACCATCGACGAGGTGATCAAGAAATGTCCTACAACTTATTGTGCCATGGTGCACCAAAATACAAACTTTCAACTGATTATGATAAGGATCTTGTGTGGCTTGCTGGATGGAATATTGAACCCATAGTTGCTAGAGTGAACACATTATTGCATTAATAATAATAGAAAATGGGCAGTCTTTAAACTAGAAATTGTAAGCATATAACTTGTGCAATGGCTGACAATCCCACTATTAACTGAAAGTGTACTCACAGGGAAAAACAATGTCTGGCAGATAAGAAAAGTTAGAGATCATGAATGGAAAAGGATTAAACATACCAAATCGTACTTAATATGAAGCTGAAGACATAAAGTGGATAAAACCAAAATACCTGAAATAGATGTTTAGTTATGTAAAACAAAAATGTAATAATAAGAAATGCATAGATATTCAAAGAAAATAATATAATAAGAAGAACACACAGATTATGGTGCCAATGCCACATGTACCATATAAAGTACTACATGGCATAATAGTCACAGTATGTATTATTTTTAGGGAAGATAGTAACAGTAAGTTGATATGTATTAGATAGTTTGTCCCAAGGGATCATGCAGACTAGTGGTGGAGTATTATGTTCATGGAAAACTTTGCAGCATATGGAGAGCCAAGCATGTCACAAGAAAAATAACGGTTAGTGACACTTTACATATCATGTTAGATTATTATTTGTGAAGTTGTGAACCTTTATTGCTAGGGAAACAACAAGATTTCCTACATGATGTCTATTTACGTGTGTTATTGCAAAGATAAACGACAACTGCTAGATTGTTTTAATGCTAGTATCTGTTATACCATATATGTTTCTAAATAATAATAATCCAAATATCATTTTCACATTAGCTAACATCAACAATCATGTGCTGTTCAATGCTAAAGCCAATAACTTATTATTGGATGGACCACAAGAGACTTGAAACTGGAGAGTTATTTTCAATGACGAAAACAGAGTAACTTTTAAAAAAAATAAAAATAAAATAGCAGCATGTAACAAGTAACAAGTAGCACTCACATAAAAAATCTCAACAAGGCCAGAGCGTAAGAATGAATAGATAGATATGGCTGCCGTGTGCTCACAAAGATGTCCCCCTGTTTGATTGTGTTGCTCAGGTAGTATCCACAATAGAGTTGGAATAACCACCGATTTCAGGGTTAGCAAGCTGTGAAGCACAAGAGATATTTAAATGGGTATTCACGAGAAAGAAGTAAAGAACACACAAAAGAGCTAAGAAGGAACATTCGGAGCAACATCAGCAGAGAAGTGCTGACATGATATGCATAACATAATCTCCTCAGGCTTAAGACATCGTAATCGAACAACTGTAGTGATAGAGAACTAAGACAAAATAAAAAACCCACTATGCTCTGTGTGACTCCAAATAGCACATCAAACTTCATCTAGTCCACTTTGCTATTTCATCGGGCAACCTACATCATTCCAGGCAAATGCATTGCAGCATTCCAATCACAAAGCATTTTATTGGTACTTGCCATGCTACCCTTGTGGTTTCAGTACGCATGACAAGTAAAAATAACACTTAAGAGTACAAAATTGTGACACTCTGCTCATAAGCTCTAATAATTTGAAGCCTACCATACACCAAAGTAACAAAAAAATACAAAATTCAGTCGAGGATCAAAATCAATTACCAAGACCGTACCTCCCCAGGAAGATAAGCCCGTTCAGCAGGAAGCACTGTGCAATCCTGATGGATAGTACCCTCGAGCTGCATCCAACCAGAAATCGACAAGGTTATACTAACGAACAAGTAATCGAGCCTTTGAGCTGGTTCAGAGGACGCTAATTTGCCCCCCCAAAAATCAAATTAAATCGCTGCAAAATCGAAAGAGAAGAGGGTATGGACAGAGGTGGAGGAGGACCTGGCGCAGAAGGAGACAACGCGGTGGAGGCGCGCTGCCTGGAAGAAGCCGGCGAGCCAGAGCACCGCCGCCGGCCTCGCTTGCGAGGCAAGCGACTCCATCGGCGAGGGGAAGAAGGGGAAGCGTCTCTCCTTTGGATTTGCTTCGCGAGCATGATTTTTATTTGATCGGCAATCATCCGACTCTTGCAGCGTGTTTAGTTCCGCTCTAACTTCCAAAAGTACTTGTCACATCGAATATTTGGGGTCTATGCATAAAGTATTAAATGTAGACGAAAAGATAAACTAATTACACAGTTTGATAAAAAATTACGATACGAACGTTTTAAGTCTAATTAATCTATATTTAAATACTATTTACCAAATAAAAACGAACGTACTATCAAAATCTAAATTCCTACAACTAAACAAGACTCGGATTCGAAGTCATATGAGGCAGAAGCCGGTTCCATTACGATACGTTACTTTCCTACTGAAAGCGGTTTCCACGAACGAAGACGTATTCTGTTCTTTGCTCTCTGGGCCGGGCCTCTTCGCTAGGAACCAAGCAGCCCGAGACTGGCCCGTTCAAGCTCCAGTTAAGCACATCGTCGAAGGCCCGCCCGCAACAAATCACACTGAGTGGCCCCCCTCTCGCCCCCCACCAGACCACACCACCGGCGGCGGCGGCGAACCAGTCGAGAACACGAAGGCGATGGCGACGGCGCTGAACCGTGGCCTCCGCTCCGGGATCCGCCTCCTCGCTGCCGGCGCCGAGGCGTCCAGGCCAGGCAAGCGCCCCTCTCATCCCGCATCCCCTCGCCTTGACCTCTCACCATGGTCCGATTAGGGTTGCTGCGGCGCCATTCGCTTAGGTTGGGTGTTAGTTTTCCGTTGGTCGCGGTGGCGTGGATGTGTGCTGTGGTAGATCCGTCGGTTCCTCCGATAATTGTTTCGATCTCGTGATGAAATGGTTGTCGTGGTGACGTGGTCCCAATATTCCGGGCCCGAGATTTGTCCGCGCTCTGCTGTGATTTGGCTTTCGATCGGGCTGTGAGTTTAGTTGGTATGTTTATGTTTAGTGAATCAGGAGAAGCACTGTATTTACGTTTTCTGCCGTTTGGTCTTACATGTGGTGAATGGTTAGCCTTTGGCCTTAGATCGAGAATTGCTGAGTTTGCAAGCGTCTGATAACACAGGAATCAGCGATAGCCGATAAGCAGTGAACTGTTGAACGACCACTCTGGATACTTTTGTATCATTCCAATTAACCAGTGCGAAAGAGTACTATTCTTGTGTTTTCTGTTTTGTGATGCATGCTCACCAATGTTATAATTAGAGTTTTTTTTTCTTGTGTGTTTTAAAGGAGCTTGTATCAATTTGTTTGAGGTTTTGTGTCCAGTTTCATTGTCTTGTGGAGGACCTGATAGTGATAGGTCTTTGAGGGCATACAATTTATTAGAAATAATGGTTGGAAATATTAACTATGCAACTGGGGTTGGTTATTATTTTGATGCACTACTTTGTTTTTCCTCCTTTATAGCAGTGATCAAAGGTGGTTATTTACAATACAACAGGCTCATACTACCTTTTGTCACTGCTGGTTGTAGTTAGTGCACTGGCACCATGATTTTTAGCTATAGTATTGAGCAAACTGTTTTTCTCTCAGAAGAAGGCAATTGTCTTATCTTCTCAGCATTGTTTCTCCAATTCATTAGTTCCTATCATATCAATGCCGTAAGGTCAAAACTCCCGTGTTTCATATTTCTTGTCAGTGTTCTTAGAGGTGACCAAAGCAGCTTGGGTATGTGTACGTGTGGAGAACTGGAGATGGTGATTGCTGGGACTGAACATTAGTGCCTCGTAGTTGTTTGGCTTGTTTTCTGGATTTCTGATGTCTGAAATTATAATCAGATGAAGTTGTGAAGTTTTCTCCGGTTTAATTCACTTCTTACTAATGATTTAGCGCTATGTGTGGATGCATCAGTCTGTTCATCATTTCCTACTCTTTCCATATCATGAAGTTATATTGAACATCTCCTTTTTTTTTCTGCACCATACAACATAGCATGGTCTAAAGTATAAAAAGAGATTTACCCTTTTGTCACATAGATGCTTGGGATATTCATATAGATTCTTTGCTTTGGATAGGAGTGCTTGGAAATTGTTTTCTAGCTATGTGAAATTATAATGTGGCTGAATTCACTTCTGACTAAGGGGCTTATGTTGGTTTTCATCATTTCCTACTCTTTCCATATCAGAAGTTACTCCCTTTTTTTCTGTTTCTAAAAAGAGATTTGAAAAGGTTGGGGGACTTTGTTTAAAACTAGGGGCTCATGTTGGTTGTTGTTGTTGTTGTTGCTGTTGTTGTTGTTGTATATCACCCCAGATATCTGATTTTCTTGTTGTGCCTGCATCAGCTTCTCGTGGATTTCATGCCACTGGTGTGAAGAGAATGGGAGGACATGGCCATGACGAGCCATACTACCTCCATGCCAAGCACATGTATAACTTGCACAGAATGAAGCATCAAGGGTTGAAGGTGACCCTTTCCGTGCTAGGAGCAGTTAGTATCGGTGTTGGAGTCCCTGTGTACGCAGTCATATTCCAGCAGAAGAAGACCGCCTCAGGTTGAGATGGTGCCTTTCGATGCCTACATATTGGAGACTTATTTTCAACATCTTGTGAAGTTAAAAGCTTGGACTTCATTCTACCTTGGTTTTTGCCTGATACGGCATTTTCTTACCATAAGTTGTAACCTCGTTTCTTGCGATTTGGTGTAGGACACAACTTTTCTGTTAATAATAATATCGTGGCTTGAACTTTCAGGCTGTGGAGATTGGAGAAACCTCAGCGCTGATATCGTTTGTTAATTTTTCTGTTTCTTGTCACGCTACTTGTGCTGACTGCTGAACACGGGTAGCAGGTGTGTTGCCTTTTGAGGTGTCACTTCCTTTTGTATCCGGATGCTTATCATGCTGAATGGAAATTACGGTGTACCAGCAAAGGGGCTTGACTGACCTAGTGACCTGGATCTTTGAAATCAGATACTGTGGTGGTCCTTTTGACAGGTCGTACTCGTAAAAGCTGGGTTCAGTTCCTTCTTTTGAAAAGTTTCGTGTCATTGGTTGAATGTCTTCACTCTTCAACGTTTGTTTCCTGGAAATTTCAAAAACTTCATTTTAGTAAAATCTGTATAAAGTTGCTACAATGCAAGGACGTTCAGATCTTTCGGATAGACAGATGAGTGTGCATATAATCTGAATTTAACGTGGGGCTCAATTGCACACAAAAATTGTATTTTTATACAAGTATCTATATAAAAAAGGTCAGCAAAATATCTCAGATTCCCCGAAGCAGGGTAATTGTGAACTTTTTCCGAATAAACCCCTTGGAAACTAGTCAAGTTCCGTGTCCATCCTTCCGGCGCGGCGGAGATCGAATCGAGCGCCCGCCACGGCGATGGCGACTAGAGTCCTGCCGCCGGTGCTGCTCCCTCTCATACTCCTGCTGCTGCTCCGCTCTCAGCCCGCGACACCGTCGCCACGGGCGAGGATTTCCCACTCGACGGGCGGGTGATCGACCTTGACGAGAGCAACTTCGAGGCGGCGTTGGGCGCCATCGACTTCCTCTTCGTCGACTTCTACGCCCCATGGTGCGGCCACTGCAAGCGCCTTGCGCCCGAGGTACGAGGAACTCCTGCCGACCTGTCAGCTTGCTGGTGGTGGTAGTCCTGTGAGATGTGATGCGAATTGGGAGTTGGGATACCGTGGGCTGTTGCCGTGGATCTTGGCTTCTGTGTTAGTGCTATGGGAATGGGTTGATTGGGACTCTGGGATTCCTTGTTCTTTGGGTGGGTGGTCCCAAGAACTCGAGCAGATTAGACCGAAGTGGGAGAGTACAGAACTTATTATTTTTCAGAATATTTATTCGATTTTTGAACAAAAATTGTTGTTATTGAGTCATTAAACAAACCGGGAGGTAGTGTGTGACACCAACTGAATTTGGGTACATTAGCTTGTGGAAAAAGATTAATAAGTGCTATAAGTGCAGTGTGTCTGTGACCCATTAGTAGGTTCTCAAATGATACGTTTTGCTTGCATACTTGCATAAAAGCCGGAACTGCCAGGGAATTGGATTAAGAAAATGAAGTTCTGACATTATTCCCTTTTTTTGGCTGGTGTAGTTAGATGAAGCTGCACCGGTGTTGGCAGGGTTGAGTGAGCCTATTGTTGTTGCCAAAGTCAATGCTGATAAATACAGGAAACTTGGATCAAAATATGGAGTGGAGTAAGTCCTTGCCCCCCCAAAAAAAAAAAAGCATTTTGGTTTCACTGGGAATAGATATTCTTAGATTGGATGCCTAATGCTTATTAGTTCCTAAATGCAGTGGGTTCCCTACCCTCATGCTTTTTATCCACGGTGTCCCAATTGAATACACTGGTTCGAGGAAAGCTGACCAGCTCGTCCGCAATCTGAAGAAGTTTGTTGCGCCAGATGTTTCTATCCTTGAGTCAGACTCTGCAGATAAAGACCTTTGTTGAGAATGCTGGTACAAGCTTTCCTATGTTCCTTGGTTTTGGGGTGAATGACTCATTGATTGCTGAATATGGAAGGAAATACAAGAAAAGAGCATGGTTTGCTGTTGCTAAAGATTTCTCTGAGGACATCATGGTAGCCTATGAATTTGATAAGGTTCCAGCACTGGTTTCAATCCATCCAAAGTATAAGGAACAAAGTTTGTTCTATGGCCCATTTGAAGGTAATTGTTATCCTTTTCTTGTGTTTGTTCATGACTTTATTTTTTCTATGTTGATTATTAGTTTGAGAAGTGATTTGAGGCACCGTATATTGTCTTGTGGTCATTTAATATACCATACATAACCATGTTGCTTCCCCCCATAATACCATAACTGATGGTTTTGTTTTTTTGGACATAGAAAATTTCTTGGAAGATTTTGTACGGCAATCCCTTCTCCCTTTGGTTGTCCCAATCAATACAGAGACGCTAAAAATGCTGAATGACGATCAGAGGAAAGTTGTTCTCACAATTTTGGAGGATGATTCAGATGAAAATTCTACACAGCTGGCAAATATTTTGAGATCTGCTGCTAATGCAAACCGTGATTTGGTGTTTGGATATGTTGGAATCAAGCAATGGGACGAGTTTGTGGAGACTTTTGATGTTTCCAAGAGCTCACAGCTGCCAAAGCTACTTGTGTGGGATAGAGACGAGGAGTACGAGCTAGTAAGTAAAGCATCCTCAGTAATTAATTCTATTTTCTAATACCAGCAACCATATAAAAAGTACTGCGTTACTGGCATGTTCTTACTAGTAATGGCACAGTTTTTCTATCAATAAAGGTATTACTTTTATAGTTCCTGTTTGTTGACCCTCATAATTCCCTGAAAAAGTTAATACTTGGTTAAGATAGAAACTGCTACTATCTCTCTGATAATCATCAAATAAGAATTCATTATTTTCTGGAATTAAATTAAAATGGTTCTTGGTGAAGGTGGATGGTTCAGAGAGATTAGAAGAAGGTGACCAAGCATCTCAAATAAGCCAATTCCTTGAGGGATACAGAGCAGGAAGAACAACAAAGAAGAAAATCAGCGGCCCTTCTTTCATGGGTTTCCTGAACTCTCTGGTCAGCTTGAGCTCGCTGTACATCCTTATATTTGTCATTGCCCTTCTGGTTGTCATGGTTTACTTTGCTGGGCGAGATGATACTCCTCAGCCAAGACGAATTCATGAAGAGTGATGAAAGCTTTGGGAGCTTATGCACGTAAAGATGGCTAATCTACCAGGAGATGTTAGCTCAGAGGTTAGATTTCAAACTTTCAACTGACGCAAGTCGTGAAGAGTGGTTTTGGTGATTATTGCTGAGATTCTTCAATCTCTACTGGCAACATCAACTTCTACATCCTGCTTGTGTGTGTTTCTGCGTTGTGCCCTTCAATTTGTTTTTAAATTTAGAGCTTAGAAATTAGCCTCTGCCTCTTCCTGTGTATTTTAGACACTGCCATTCTAGAGTCCATTTCTGTGAAAAATATATTTGTTATCATACTCTGTTACTGAACTCTTGTACAATTAATACAGGATATATAGAGTGTGTTCTGGTGCTACTATGACTATGAGCCTGCTCGTTTTCTATTGCTGCAGCTGCGGCTGTTGCGGCAGCACAACAACAGCCGCAGCTGCAGCGGGAAAATCTGCAGCGAGTGGAGCCGTTACTCGCTAGTTGTCAGTAAAAATGTAAAACAATCATTTTGCTGAGAAATGTTTTTATGCGATTGGTTCAGGCATTCAGCTGTGTAGCCATTAATTATGTTGACCTGGGGCAGGCTCGCCAAATTCTGCCTATATAAATTTATAGCACCCGCATAAGCAAGGCTCATGCCTCCAGGGTAGGTCTGTTTGGAATGTGAAAAAAATTGCATTCCTGCAATTTTTCTGTAAAATTAAACTGATTTCTATAAAATTCTTACCTAATTTGTATAAAATTTTAAATGTGTGTTTTCCAAACATGCCCACGGCAGACGTGCATCGCCGTGCTCCCCAAGAGGAGCAAGCGGATAGCGGCGCAGAGCCTATCACATATCCCGGTGTCCAAGTGAGGTGATCATCTTGTCTTGAAGCGCATGGGTCTAACCAGCGGAATGTCATCTATGTCCACGTCGGCCATGAAGGCGTATGACAAAATCTTCAGCGGTGACCTCGGTAACATGCGGGCGCTTCGTGAGTTGTTTCCGTCGGACGGCGACGTGGGTCCACGCAAGCGGCGCCATCGCCGCTTGGCAGCCCGGGCATAGGCCTCTTAGTCAGCACTGCAATTCAGGTTGATCAGTACACTAGGGTGGGCTTGAGCGTCCATGTATAATTCTTCTGACCCATAGAGCGCCGCTAAGGCGTGTTATATTAAATTTTTTCTCTATTTTAATATAAAGACACGCAAACCTTTTGCGTGATCGAGAAAAAAAAATCAGACCCGTATTGGTCAAAATCTATTTTGAAATCCATCGGGGAACAGGGCGCCACTGGGGAAGGGAGTCGTCGGAGGCTGGCCGCTGCTAGAGAAGGGTTGCACCATGGGAAGGAGAGTCGTCGAAGGAGGGAAGGAAGAGATGCGACTGGGAGGTTGGACGGGAGGAAGAATGAGAAATTCGTCGTCTAGACCTGCCGTCGGCGAGGGCCACCGTCGACCAAAGAGGTAGCGACGAGGCAGACGATGGTCGGGCGAAGGGGGAGAGAGAGAGAGAGAGACACGGGTGAGAAAAAATAGATAGCCAACTGATGGCCCAATAAAAATGGGTAGGAGTACCTAAAAATAGAATTGATAGCCTATTTAGATAGTCTATCAGGGATTGGCAGGCTAGTTACCAAGCACTCGGCTAAGGTCTGCAGCAACAATCCGCCTCATAAAAAACAGACTCATCTCTCGCCATGGCAACAATGGCAGCTTTCAACAAGGAACGGGACCATGCTGAGATGGCTCACCGGTTCAAAATATTTAGATATTCTAAAAAGCTCGTGCACGATTGGAACACTCGTGTTCCTGAAAATCAAGAGGAAGCAGCCATATACCTTAAAAAAAAGAATTCGAGTTACTTCTTTCGAAAGGCAAAGACGACTCAAACTTCGAGTGGCATCTACCAATGGAGTTAGGTCCATTCGCCTATGCGTGAAAACCTCTTAGCGAATACTAGGGGCAGCTTCAACAATTGATTTTTAAGCTACTCTAAATATTTTTCTCGTATTTTAATAGAAGAAAGAGAAAAACTAACTCTTAATCCAGAGTTAAGCTCTTACACGTATTTAAGGTGATGTGAGAATATTACGTGGGGCTATCCATATTAAAAGCTATGTGTTAAAAGTTAGCATTATTAGAGAAGTTGGCTTAGAGTTAATAACTGGCTCTAACTATTGTGGATGCCCTAAGAGTCTTCCCAATAGTCTAGGTTAGAGCTAGCTGAATCATTTTTTTCGCTAAACAGTGCAAAAGATAAGAGACTAGCATGAAGGGAAGAGAGTCTCACATATTTTTAAGGTCTCTCTCACAATATGATATAAATGACGTTATCTCTCCCCGTGTTTACTAGCTTAAAGCTAGTGTTAGCTTATAAACAAAGAGAAGAATGCATGCAATGATGTCAAGATATCACGGCAGAGTAGTTTGAGTAGGGAAATCCAGATCTTGAGTGAGATGAACTGACCAAATCACTCGAATGCAACAAGTTAGGCTTTGTTGTTCCACGTGTACTGAGTTATGCTTTCATGTACTTCCTTCTTTCTAAATTATAAAACAATTCTAAATTATAAAGAAATTTTGGCTTTTCTAAGTACATATATTTTGCTATCATATATACTATGTCTAGATAATATATATCTATATCTATCTATCTTATACTCTTATAAAGCTAAACCCCACTAGATAATTTTTCTCTTCATACAAGATGTCCACATCATTCCCCACTAAATAAACCATTGGGTGTTCTATCTCTTCATGCAAGATGTCCACATCATTCCCCACCGAATCCATATCATCCTTTATTAATTAAAAAATATCCACATCATCTCTATAATGTCAAATAGTTTTATTCATACCCTAACTAGATGATTTTTCTCTTCATGCAAGGTATTCACATCATTCCTCACTAAATGATCCACTAGGTGTTCTATCTCTTTATGCAAGGTGTCCACATTATTCCCCAAAGTCCATGTCATCCCTTATTGACTAAAAAATGTCTACATCATCTCTATAATGTGAAATAGTTTTATTCTTTAATTAATTAATCTATTAATATATAAGCCATCTACTACACTATTTGTTTCATCATCTATTCCTCTGTAATGTAATCAAATATTCTATTGATTTTTTCTTCTATTAGCTTACTGATACAATAAAATAATATACAAGTTAAATTCATATATATACAATATCATATAGTAATGCTATATATAACAAATTTCTTTTTAAGAAAATCTAGCAACAGCGCGCAGGGTATGCTTCTAGTATACTAGTATAGTAAAAAGTAATATATCTAGAAAAGGTCAAAACGTGTTATAATTTAGAATGGAGGGAGTGTGTTCTTATGCTTTCATGTGTGCTACTCAACCGAAAAAACATTATTTTAATAAACATGATGTCTTTTATTAAATTAACATATTTTCATCCATGATTGTTTTTTCATCCACTAAACAATGCGACTTTACTTTTCTGTGTCCTGTAGTATTTTTTTTTCTTATAATAGTATATATAAGAAATTACAGTGTTGGGACTGCCGAAAGCTACCAAATCATATCTAACCGAAAACTATTTTGGACTTGTTTGGATGGAGTTGGATTAGCATCAATCTACATGTGTTTAGGTGGATTGGAGTGAAATTTTAAATTATATCCCAATCCACCTAACACATATGAATTAAGGTGAATCTAATAACATCAAAAAAAGGCCTTGGGAAACTGTAGTACCCCGGTGTTATGCAAGCATTTAGGCACTGCAAATCATGCATATTATGCATCATCAAGCATCATAATCATACATGCCTAATCATGTAAATAATAACTGAAACAATGCTTTGAAACATATGAAACATGCTTGTGAAACATGAATGTTGCATACACTTGTTTAGAGTTATTTTTGCCCTAATTATGCTTGCTAGGCTAATAAAACATGTTTGGCTATATTTGTAAATCATCTAGAATTATTTAGCACAATTTTTGGAGCAAAGTTTGTATTCAAACTTTTGACAAAATATGCTTTTGAAATTATTATTGAAAATGGTCAAAAATCCTCCCTATTTAGCTTTTACTTCCCAATTCAAAATCTATGCAAAATTTTTAGTTGGTCCCTAAAGCCAAGTTGTAGAGGATTAAATTCTAAGCAACTTTTATTTTTGGGCCATTTTCAAAAGAAGTCATTTTCTTGCTCAAAATGGTACTTGAAAACTGATATTTGAAAATTCATTGAAAATGGAATTGGAAAACGCTTATCTCATTTAACGGGCCGCCGCCTCACTTGTGGCCCATCAGCCGAAGCCGGCCCAGCGCTCCTCACCGCGCCCGCGCCTTCGCCTCGGCCCAGCCCACGCCCGCGCGCTGTCTTCTCCCCCCACCCCACCGCGCGCGCGGACGCGTCCGACCGCGTCAGGCATGCCGCGCCGCGTGGCGAGCGCATGCCGGCGACGCCGGCCGGGTGGCGTCCCGTGGCCCCCGCGAGCACGCGCCTCGCCCGTTTTCAAGCCCCAGCAGCTCCGCTTCTCCCAGCATTCCCCATTTTTCCTCTCCCACGCTGCATCTCTCCCTCGCCCCGCACCGAGCTCTGCTCGCGCCGCCCTCGCCACCGCAGCTCCACCGGCGAAATTGGCCACCGGTGGTCCACCGTCGCCCACAATCGCGCGCACATCACTCCGCCTCGCTCTCCGACACCCGGTGCTCGCTGCAGGGTCACCGTTGGAGCAAGGTAAAGCCACCTTGAGCGGTTTCGCCGTCGTCGGTCATGGCGCCATCGTACTTGACCTCGTCGTGGAAAGGGCTTCCCCGTTCCTTCTCTATCCCCTTGAGTCACCTTCTCGTGTTCGCCATCTTCTCGCGGACCCAGAGCGCGCTCTTTCTTGCCCGGTCGTGGTCGGCAACGGCCATCGGCCCGCTGGCAGCTGCCGTGTTGCCATGGCGCCTGGAACGCCGGCGTGGCGTGGCCGTCTCCCCTCGGCCCTTTGCTGGGCCAGGTCGATCTTGGGCCGGAGCCCCGAGCCGGGCCGT